AAAGACTAACACTAGGCACTAACAGCAGTGCTGTTAATCATTACTAGCAACATTTCCCTTTTAAGTGTTAGACCATAAAATAATTTCTGTGACAAGGAATGGGACAGTCCTAAACACATTTTAGCCAACCTATAAAATCAGATGGTCTTCATATTACTGTTTTCCTCCAGAACTCCAATATCCCAAGGAATTATTTAGAGAAAAAAAAACTGTAAGTTTTTAACATCTATAAGATGTTAAAACCAACATAGCAGTGGCATGCTGGCAGAGTAAAATCCCATACATAATTTACAACTATAGTGCAGAACTTAGAGATCATTCAGTCTAAGTCCCTCACTGTACAGATGGTAACACAGACCCAGAGAGGGACAGAGACTGTCCAAAACCACACAATTCCTGGCAGAACTAAGATAAGATTAGAATCCAACTCTGTTACTCTCAAGATGACTTCTACTCCAATCATTCAGGCGTCATATCACTGTGCAACAATAGAACGGGCTGGTACCAATTTGGATGACAGGGCCCACCCACAAAAGCAGATTTTCCAACTCAACTTGAGACATTTGCAATGTTTACCAGGTAAGGTCCTGATTCATGGCAATAAAAATATTATACTTACCAGCACATTTCCAGTACACTGGACGACTGTGGTCTGGTCCTGCCGGCCCGGCAAGGGGCGAAAAGTGAAATTTCTCCTGCAGTTCAGGCACTCCCCTCGACATCAGTGAAGAAGGCAAGTTTCTTTAAAACAAACAAAACCCAGTCATCAAGTTGATTCTGACTCACAGCGATCGTATAACACAGAGTATAACTGCTCCCATAGGGTCTGTAAGGCTGCATAGCTTTCGGTAAACAGATTGCTACACCCTTTTTCCCCAGAACGGCTGATGGGTTCGAACCACCAACCTTCAGGTTAGCAGCTGTGCCACCACTCACACACGCATCACCATTCTGACCCCCATTGGGTTTCCCAGGCGGTAAATCTTGACGGAAGCAGATTGCCCCATCTTCCTTCCGTGGAGTGGCTGGTAGGTTTGAACCGTTAACCTTCTGGTTAGCAGTCAAATACTTTAAGCACTCCACCAGAGCTCCTTACTGTGTCACCAAGACTCCTTAATAAGGAAGCAGGAAATTGGCGGAACCTTGAAGCTGAACCCACGCGGCCGGTATGGTTGCTTTGTGAAAAGAACGTTTCCGATTCCTTAAGAACGTAAACGCCCCTGTGGTTTGGGCTGCCAGCACTCACGTTCTGATTGGCCACGCTAACTCTGGGAGGCGGGCTTGCATGGCCGTCACACTCCACTATTGGCTGCTGGTGTGGCGGCGGTTTGTAGTGAGGATAGCACGTTGAGCTGGAGGCTGTGGGTATCGCCAACCCGCTGGGCTTGCAGTCGAGCCAAGTGTCTGTGTAGGAGTCCGGGACCAGGGCCTGTCTGGGCCACAAGAGAATGGATCGGGTGTGGAGTGCGTGGTGTGGCAAATGTGCCAAAGGAAAAGGGTCGTCGCCGCTCTGGGCCCAGCGCATCGTGGTCGCCTGGCTCAACAGGGCCGAGTGGGACCAGGTGATGGTGTATCTGTTCTGCGAGGACCATACGTTGCAGCGGTATGCGCTGAACCGTATCACTGTGTGGAGGAGCAGGTAAGCTGGAGGACTCAGGGCTCCTGCCTGCTGCTTGTGGCGCCTCACTTCCTCCTTTGTTGAGTTTCTGTAGGGCCCTTTTCTCCCTAAGTTGCCGAATGGTGCCTTTATGTGTGATTTGGGCCTGTTCCTAGTCTCAGTTCCTGGGGGAAAGTCGCAGCCAAGATCTTGCATTAATTTCATTTGTAGAATAAAGGGGTGTGCCTCTTCTTACTTGTCTGCGAGCTTTAACTCCTATTTCCTAAGAGTGACCTTATACTTGGAGAGTGTCCTGGAGGGACCCGTGGGGCCTGGGCCCCAGAGTGGATTTCCAGTTCGAATTGGGGGTGGGGGTGGGGCAGTGTCTTACTTGTAAAACCATGTTTGAATGGGGCGGCTCAGTCCAGTTGGTAAGATTGAGTTGGGGGGAGACTAACAAGGGATAACGGCTTCTTTAGCTGAATTTTTTGAGGGTGAAAGAAAGGCCTGTGTCCACACTTAATTGTTAGTTGACAGTTAGGTGTACTGTGTGTACCCAACTAGCCTTTCATGCACTGTATACAGGCATACCTCGGAGATATTGTGGATTCAGTTCAGATCACCATAATAAAGGTAATATGACAATTAAGGGGAGTCACACAATTTTTTTGGTTTCCTAGCGCATATAAAAGTTATGTTTACCCTATACTGTAGCCTTTTAAGTGTGCAATAGGATTATGAAAGTTTGTATCATTGTGAGAGTTACCAAAATGTAACATAGACACAAAGTGGGCACATGCTGTTGGAAAAATGACACTGATTGACTTGCCCTACACAGGGTTGCCACAAACTTTCTATTTATAAAAAGTGCAATATGTGTGAAGCACAATAAGGAGAAGTGCAATAAAACAAGGTATGCCTGTACTACATTACCCTCTTTCCTCCCACCTTCTTGTTTTATATCTGTTACTGTGCTTTGAGCTACTCTATAATGGGACTAGCCTACAACAACCTAAATTCTGAGGTGGAGGGTGGACGACCAGTGTAAGGGCCTTTATGATGGTACTGGACTGTGGCCTTTTAGGTTAGGCAACGACCTTCCCCTGGCAGTGGCTTCTACCGCTGACCTGGTACGCTGTAAACTCATGGATGTGACTGGTGGCTTGGGCGCTGATGAACTTAGTCTGCTCTATGGCATGGCATTAGTCAGGTAAGACCTGCATGGATTGGGAGTGGGGTGTGGCTTGAGGGGGGTAGGATAGCATGTGATAAGGGAAGCTTGGCCTCAGGTGCTACCTCCCAGTTAGCAAAAAAAAAGAGAAAACTTAGAGACTGAATGCCTGACTTGACAACTTTTGGTATCCCCTGCCCATACATATTCTTGTTTTTTTTTTTTTTTTTCCTTTCCCAAGAACCTTGTATCTTTCATTTTTCTTTTCCACTCTTTCTTACAAATGTGGAGTAGAGATGGTTCAGATTAGGTCATTTCTTTGGGTCTCTTCCATCTTTGATAGTCAGATTTTTTTCCTCCCCTTTACTTACCTCTTCTCATCTAGAGGAGCTTTTCTGAATGGTTTTATGTCCTTGTCCAAGATTTAACATTGGCTCTCTAACTCTACGCCACCCTTTTCCCCTTTGTAACCCCATGAACACTAAAAGGTTGCTAAGGATTGGAAACAGAGATATGAAGTGGAATGCCTGACTTACAGAGAAGCTCAGAATGTTTTTAGCTGTCTCCTACACATAAGGGGAAAAGACTGAATTTTCTCACCTGTCAAAGTCATTTTTCATCTCATCAGATTCCTTTTATCTACCTTGAGGTCATCCCTGGCTCTTCTTACCTTATCCATCTTCTGCTGTGCTCCCCATATCATTTGATGCAGTCCTTTGTTCCAGCACTTACAACATCCAGTTTTTAACATAGTATGTTACATTGTTGTTGTTGTTGTTATGTTCCATCAAGTCAGATCCGACTCATAGCAACCCCTCCTTGGGTTTCCGAGGCAATATAACTATGGAAATAGATTGCCCAACCTTCCTTCCGAGGAGTGGCTGGTGGGTTTGAACCAGCAGCTTTCTGGTTAGCAGTCAAATGCCTTAGGCACTACGCTACCAGAGTTCCTAATATGTTACATTATGTCGTGATTATTTTAGACCGAATTCTTCAAGGCCAGAGCAGTATCTTGTTCATCTGTATGGCTCCAGTACAGGGCAGACTCTGAGTGAATGTTGAATTGGATGGAATCATTCCTACTCTGACAGCAGACATAAGAAAGGACAGGACAGTCAATGGAAAGGTTATGGAAAATGCAAGGTGTGAGTAACTCAGCAAGGTGTTTTTTTGTTGTTGTTGTTTTATTATTATTATTTTATTTTTTATTTTTAATGCATTTTATTGAAATATAATTTATGTACAGTGAAATACACAAAACTAAAGTGACAGGGTCAATGCTTTTTTATTTTTTTGCAGTGCTCTCTCCTCTCCCCTCCCACCTCTGGCAACTAACAAAGAAAGTTTCCCTCCATATATAAACCTTTACTTGATTGACCCACCACAACAACAAACTAATACTATATTTGTCGTTCTATGATTGACTTATTTCACTCAGCATAATGTCCTCCAACCTCATCCATATTATGCTGTGTTTTGCAGACTCTACATTATTCTTTAGTGCTACATAGCATTCCATTATGTGTATGTACCATAGTTTGGCCATCCATTCTTACACTCTAAATCTTAGACATAAGTCCCTTGCCAGATATGTAATTATCACTCAGTATGAATTTGTTGCTGTCATTTTTGTTATGTGCTTTCTCATGGTGAGGATTTCTTTATGCCCTATAATTTTCTCTGCTGAGCTTGTTTTGTTTATGTATCGTGTTATCACTTCCTTCATTGCTATTTTTTTAGTATTTGCTGAATATTTATGCTGGTCCTCTTTTTTGTTTTGATGTGAGGGTTTATCATTTTTCTTTGAGGTTACCCTGTGATTTATAGTTTTCTTCACAAGTTTAGAACAGTCCATTCTGTCTTGTAGTTGTCTTGACTTCCTTACCATCTAAAAGTTCTGCAACGACAGTTTTTTCCCTC